AATGGCACGCATAGACTAATAATTGATGGCTGTACTCGCAACTAGTATCGGATTGTCGATGCCACAGTGAAGATCAAAGGACTGTACGCACGCGCTATGTTCGAGAGCGGAGATGTGCGTCCTTCTGTTGAATTAACTTGGTAGGCCCATGGAGGTATTATTGAGAAGGAGATCACTCGGTAACAGTTCCCTTTGACGCGACAAACCCATGTGTTCCCCGTTTTTGCATCGCGCGCGGGCGTATTACCAAAGATACTAGAAATACAAGATAGAGTTCTCCACACAAAAAAAGTGTTCCACCGTGTTCCAATGAAATGCATGGTGGGAATACGAAAAATGGGACGCCCCCTACAGCTGGATCTAAAAAACTTGTGCCAAGCTTTCGTTACCAAGTCGTCGCGTATTTTATTATCAATTCTCAACAAACATACTAGATTTAAAAACAAACTGGAATAGACACCCAGACAGTGACATCGGTGAATACATAACCTCCTTGGTGGCGGTAGAAATCGTTGCTATTATCCAAATAAAACACAAAAATCATAAAAATCATAATCATGAATCAGTAAAGAATAAAACAACAATACAGCGCAGAATCGCATGGCCGGACGCACTCTTAGTGAAAAGTTTTCCTCCATTAGTGGAAAAGGAAGGGCGCCTTTTGCGTCTGGATATACTTAGCAACAGAAGGGCGCCCTGTACGTTGGGCACGAAGTATAGGAAACTTGCATGGTTAAAAAGAAGGGCGCCGCCTACGTTGGGCACGACTTCCGCCTCATTTTTACAATGCGAGAACTCTATCTTGTATTTCTAGTATCTTTGGTATTACCCTATAACTCACATTTTTTCGTTAGCAACAACTTGGCAACGACATGCATTTATGCGCTTCCAGCAGAGCAGTTGTGCAATAAAGCGTTTGAATTTAACCCAATAAATATCTTTATAATGAACAGTGTTCCCCTGATTAGATTTTTTCGGACTTTTGGTATGTTATTATTTGTATATTTCAGGAACGGATTCCGTAAAATATTTATGTTAAAATTACTTCTGTGTTCATTATAATTTTGTCTAAAGATTGATTAGTTCGACTATAAATCTAAGTCAGCGTAAAACTGAAAAATACTCAGATTTTGGATTGATTTTTCGAATAGTTAACCCTCGTTAACCCTAAAATGACTTAGTTTATTATAATCCTCAATCATTTATTAATTAATATATGTTAAAATTAGAATTTTGGCCAATTTATGGAAATTGAAGTTGAAATATACTATACTTTTAAAGGTCATGTGAATGTTCCATTAAATTCGAAACTTTTTGGTGGAAAATATTAATATGTTTGATATTTTATGAGAGATAAATGTATCAGCTTCAAAATGGAAACGATCGCGCAGCCATAGTGATTGACTGTATGTAGTGCGCATCGGGAAAAGAAGGTGCTCTCCATTTCGCCATGTTCAATTTGTTGGTAAGCCTGCTGAAAATTTGATGGCGGGGAACACATAGGACTTCAAAGGCATCGCGCAAACTTTCTTCACGCGCTGCGGCAGCTTTGATCTTGGGTCATTTGCATAGCGCTGCGTGCGCGTAGCTTTTTCGAGTGATCTTCTCAATAATAACTCCATGGTAGGCCTATGATATCTTACGGATTTATGCGATGTACGTGTGTAACTAACTGTCGACCTTCTTGGATGTTATTAAATGTTAGTATAATATCTACAACAACAGCTAGTACCCCATTTTATAAAGTGTAGATAGGTACAGTAATACCAAAACCTAGAGAGAAAGAGGATAACAATTATATAGGCCTAACTACAGGCTACCTAGGCCCCTCCTAAAACTATAGGCCTAGGGCTTATGTCCCTAGTGTCCAAGCTGACACCAACAGTCACGCTTCACATACAAACGTTCATTGAAATTTTGGGAAAAAAATGGAAAAAAATTAAAGCATGAAATAAAAAATAGAGTGCATAAGAGAAATATTATTAAATAAATAATCCATTCAGCGGCGTTATTGAACTTGGCCAATCCTTGTAATGTAATGAATGTTAAATAATAATAATAATAATAATAATAATAATAATAATAATAATAATAATAACAATAATAATAATAATAATAATAATAATAATAATAATAATAATAATAATAATAATAATAATAATAATAATTTCAGCATTAATTACCATGACCTAAGCCTTGTAATGAAGAACCATACTATTTACTAGGCTTATTATAATTAATAACTAGCCCAGGGGGAATATCTTTTGTGTTATTTCCCCTTAATAACGTCGATTTTTTAATTGTTCTCTAATTCCTCCATTGTCTAAGTTCCCCTTAAGGTAGGCCTATAGGTTGGTTTTAATAATATAATAATCAATAATAATAATAATAATAATAATAATAATAATAATAATAATAATAATAAATAATCATTTCGGCATTACTTGTAATTAACTTGGTCTAGCCTTGTAATCAAGAATCTGCAGATTAGGTACTATGCCTGATATTAATAAGTACGCTTAGGCCTCATTTATACATTCATTGGTACTCTGCCATTTTGGAAGGTTTTATGGCATCCAATATTTTAGAGCTGCCTATTCTCAGCTCTTCTCTTAATTTGAAAATAACTGTCACGTTGACATAGGGCCGAGTTGATTTGGGGCTGAGTTGACTTGAATTCTTCATATAGGTACTTAGGTAAATAATTATCTAAAACTTAGGCCAACTAAAAAATAAAAGTATTCAGAGTATGTAACTCAAATTCAAATAACACTTTTATTATTCGTGCAGCGAAATCAAATATTACATAGGCCTATATCGTTTTAAACGACTCATTATATTAGCATGGTAACATCAATGTGTTTTTTTTTTCAAAATCAGACAGCGAGCAGCAATCCTGAATCTCAGAAGTTCTGTATACGGTAGGTTTATCTTTGGCTGATGACCTTTCGACCTTCAGAATTCAGATTTTCGAGTCGAGTCAGTCGAGACAGCCCGAGTGGAGTTTCATGCAAATGTTTCGTACGGGGAAAAAATCACTCGCGGGCCAGCGATAGTCCTCATTCACTTGCTACCTGGCTTAACTTACGTCACGGCCAACAAACGCAATCTCACGGCCAAACTCAACCAAACCTGTTTTCGATGTCGGCCAAAATTCGACCAGATTATACTCGGACGTTTCACCGACAGACATTTGGCCTACAGACTATCGACCGAAATACCATTTCGCCGAATGCCAGTTTGCCGACAGGACGATTCGCCAAAATTTTTCGTGAACCTGTTTAATGGATGGATGTGCCACCAGGTGGCATACAGTATTTAGATGATTAATTTTCGTGGCCTGACGTTTCACCGACAGACATTTGGCCTAGGCTATACTATCGACCGAAATAGCATCTGCCGACACGAGATTTTTCCTACACCACATTTCACCAAATGCCAGGCGTTTCGCCGACAGACAATTTCCCGACAGCGAATTCGCCGACATTTTTTTTTAACATGTTAATGGATGGATGTGTCACATAGTGGCATATTTAGATGATTCACTGACAGACATTTGGCCATATGACTATTGACCGAAATACCATTCGCCACCACATTACGTCGAATGCCAGTTTACCGACAGGATGATTCGCCAATTTTTTTGAACATGTTAATAATGGATGGATCTGTCACAAGTAGCATATTTAGAAGATTTATTTTTCGGTTACGTGTTCAAAACCTTTCTAGTACCGAATATTGTGCACAGCGTACAGCTATCAAATGTTAAATTATGTTTTGAGCATTGAGTTTGAAACTTCCATACTGTGATAGAGCTAAAAGTTCTTGATGATAAGAAGAATTTGTAGGCCACTGTTTAAATCGTGAAAGAATTATTCTATTCTGGTAACGTATTACTATTCTTTATAATAATGGAAGGGCCGTAATAATTTGGGTCGGATTCAGGGGCTGCAACGATGCGATCGCATCCCCCTCCCCCTCCTCCCCTTCCAAATTGTGTTAAGAACATTATTTTCTATTGTATTGCTGATATGTAGGCCTACATAGTACCTGGTTTGGGTTTGCTTTTTATTGTCTTAAATGTGATGTTTTTGCTTTTTGATTTTTTCTCTCCTTCTTGTTTTCCTTTTGTTTGAAGAACAGTAGAATTATTATCACATGTACAAACAAATGCTGTGAATTTTGTGAATTCGTACTGTGATGAATATAGATTCATATAGGAGGCCCTCTGTTGGTTCATACATATATAACATACCTTGTAGTATAATGGTAGAGTCCCGAAAGTTTAGTGCGGTAAAGAACGAGTGTTGCGCGTTGGAAACTAGGGACACCATACTGTAGTAATGTAGTGACGGTTTGATAGTAAGCAATAAGCCTATGTAACACATCGCATGTTAACATTTGATGATAGACGTTCGCTGGTGACTCGTCACGCTTGACTGCACAAATGAATATTTATGAAGTCATATGATAGGCTGATACCATTGGTATTGTGGAGGTGCAGTGGGTTTCTTATTGCCTAATTTAATTGTTTAATCATTGTTTTTACTTATTTTACAGTAATTTTACGTCTTGATGATCTTGATGACAGTTAATAAATATATACCAAAAGGCAAAAGTGTTGTTGTCGAATATCATCGAGTTAGTAAAATACGCCCGACGTAACAGTAAAATTACATAACCGCATCCTGTTGTAGTGTTCTACCATTGGTCCAAGTAAGCTGAAGTAAACCGGATTTTGAGTTATAAATTTATAGAGCTAACATGGCCAGCGAAGAAGCAGATAGGGTCAGAACATTACAACTAAGGCGTAGAAATGGAAAGGGTCTCACCAGGCAATTAAATGCATTAAAATTAGAAATTGAGGTGGGAGAAGACGTAAATAGTGTAGAAGAAAGGGTGCAGCGAATTTCAGCAGCCTATGAGAATGTAGAAGAAAAGCATGCAGCTTTAATAGAGTTAGTGGAGGATGAGGACACTTACGAGATTGAAGAGAGTGGATGACAGCCTGTCAGCTTCAATACATGCAGGGAATTAAGGCAGGAAAAGGTTATATTAAAGAGTATAATAAAGGAGAAGTCCTAGTTGATTCATCTGTGGTCGTCGCTGATGAAGCCAACTTTGATGAAGCCGTTGCTGATGAAGTCGTAGCCGATGAAGAAGTAGCTGGTGAGGTTGATGTGTCTGTTGTGGCCGATGCTAATAGTGATGGTAATGTTAGTTATTCAGCGGGAGATACAAGCTCAGGTGAACAGTCTCCAGTGGAGTCCTCAAAACAGAATAGTGTGGATAATTTCACCAAGTATTTGATTAAAAAGGAGCTACTGAGCAATGGACTAATTAAATTTGCTGATTGCCCAATGAATTATAGATCGTGGAAGGCTTCATTTACCGGTGTAATCAATGAATTGGAACTGGTTCCAAGGGAAGAGCTAGACCTACTAACCAGATGGCTTGGAAATGAGTCACAAGGTCATGCAAAACGAATCAGAGCAGTGCATGTGCCAAACACGAAAGCTGGCCTGAAGGCATTATGGGAACGCCTAGATGAACTGTATGGAGCGTCTGAAATACTGGAAAAGTCATTGATGAACAGAATAGAAAGTTTCCATAACCTGAGCATTACAGAAAACGCCAGACTGCGAGATCTTGGGGATTTATTAAAGCAAATTCAGGGAGCACGAGATGATGGAACTTTGCCAGGCCTAGATTATTTGGATACTTCGAAGGGCATTAGTAACATCGTAAATAAGTTGCCGTACTTATTGCAAAAGAAGTGGCGTACGAAAGGTGCACTGTACAAACAGGAAAAGGGTGTCCCATTTCCACCGTTCAGTATTTTTGTAGAATTCGTAAGTCAGCAGGCAAAGATTAGAAATGACCCTAGTTTTGCATCATCACAAGCCCAGGCTAACACCCGTAAACCGGCAGCTCGATCTTTCAACACATCTGCTAAAGTAGAAAAGAAACATGGATGCCAAGCATGCGGAGAAAATCACAGCATATGTACCTGCAAGTTGTTTAAGGAGATGAGCACTGAAGAAAAGCAAGCGCTTGTAAGGACAAAGAGGCTGTGCAATGGTTGCTTAAAAAGAGGACATATATGGAAAGAATGCCGAAAGAAAAGCATATGTGAGATATGCCAAGGGAAACATCCTACTGTTTTGCATATACATAGACGCAATCCAACATCAACAAGCAACGCACCTCAGACAGTATCATCATTCAGAGCAGAATCAAGAGATGATGCCATGTTACAAATTCTACTCATTAATAATCCCAGTGTAGGTGAAGACCAGGGGAAAGCCTGAAAGGAAGGTGCTAACTTACGCATTGCTAGACAACCAGTCGGATGCTTGTTTCATCACTAGCTCTCTAAAGAATAAGCATCTGGGCCAACAGTCATCTTAAAGATCTCAACTATTTTAGAAGAAGACACTGTGAGTTGTGAACGGATTGATGGGCTTATCATCACGGGCTGGCAAGAGGAGAAAATTATAGAGCTTCCATGCTCTTATACCAGAACAAATATTCCAGTTACTCAGTCCCAAATTCCCACTTCAGAGTCAACTAATGGCTGGGCACACTTGCAATCAGTGAAAAAGTTCTTGATGCCATACAATGGTGATATAGAAGTTGGGCTATTGATAGGTGCTAATTGTGCCAGAGCCCTGAAGCCTAGAGAGGTAGTGCCAGGCCAAGATGATTACCCTTATGCCATAAAAACATCATTAGGCTGGGGAATAGTTGGGTTAATTGGAGGTAGAAAGGAGTGCAAACTTGGACATGTTGTTTATAGAACCACTACTAATGAAATACTCTCTATGTTCGAGGCTGATTTTGTTGAGAGAGAAGCTGAACCAATGTCAGTCAATGATCGGAAATTTATAGAGGTCATGGATAAACGAGTTTAGTTTGTTGACGGACATTTCCAGTTTCCATTGCCATTCCGACAGGAGCCTTGCTTATCAGATAACAAGGAGCTAGCAATAAAAAGACTTGATCAGCTGAAACACAAGTTGAAGAGGAATACAAAATTCAGAAATGATTATGTTACATTCATGAATGGTATGCTGTCTAACTATGCGGAAGGAGTGCCAGATCACCAACTTGCTCCTGCCAATTACATTCCACATCATGGTGTTTACCACCCAAGAAAACCAAACAAAATAAGAGTCGTGTTTGATTGCGCAGCTCGTTACAAGGGTCCTCACTGAATGATTACCTTCTTCAAGGTCCAAATCTGACGAACAGTCTGCTAGGTGTCCTGTTGAAGTTCAGGGTGGAACCGATTGCAATTGTTGGAGACATCGAAGGGATGTTCAATCAGGTTCTAGTTCGACCTTGTGATAGAGATTTCTAGAGATTTCTATGGTGGGAAGATGGCAATCTAAGCTCAGCACCCGAGGAATACAAGATGAAGGTTCATATTTTTGGGGCAGCATCATTTCCTGGAGTAGCAAATTATGCCTTAAAAAAGGCTGCAGATGTGTATGAAAGCAAGTATGGATCTGATGCAGCAGACTTTGTGAGAAACCATTTTTATGTAGATGGCTTAATATCGGTGTCCACAGTTGAGGAAGGTGTTAGTCTCGCTAAGCGAACAATAGAGCTGTGCAAGAATGCAGGATTTCGCTTGCATAAATTTGTGGCAAACAATGAAGAGGTGTTAAAATCGTTGCCAAGCAGTTCAGTGGCTGATGGATGCAAACAGTGGAGCACACTTCCTACAGAACGAACCCTGGGTATACTCTGGGGTGCTGGTTCAGATGCCTTGCAATTTAGTTCCTGTGTTCGAGAACGCCCTTCCACTCGTAGAGGTGTCTTATCTATGGTGAGCTCAATTTTTGACCCTCTAGGGTTTCTTTCACCATATGTTTTGAATGGCAAAAAGATACTGCAACATCTGTGTACCAATGAATCTGATTGGGATCAACCAATTCCAACAAGTGTCGAGCAGAAGTGGAAGCAGTGGAAAGATCAAATTAAATATCTAAATAATGTCCGGATTGATAGGTGTTACAAGCCAAACCTAAAGGAACCATTGTCCATTAAGTCTGCTGAACTGCATCATTTTTGTGACGCAAGTGTGGATGGGTATGGTGAATATTCATATTTGAGACTTGTTGACAATAATAACTGTGTGAAATGCTCCTTAGTGATTAGTAAAGCCAGAGTGGGGCCCAGGAAACCAACAACAATCCCTAGAATGGAACTTGTTGCTGCTACAGTGTCAGTCAAGATCGCTACAATTTTGAGAAGAGAACTGAGTTGCTACAAGAACTTAAAGGAACATTTTTGGACCGACAGTAAGGTCGTTTTAGGCTACATAGTTAATGATGCTAAGCGCTTCCATACCTTTGTAGCAAACAGGGTCCAGCTAATACGTAATAGCAGTGAATTAAGACAGTGGCATTACATTAGCACCAAATATAACCCTGCTGACATTGCTTCCCGTGGCATGGAAGTTGAAAAACTAATAACATCAGAAATATGGTGGAATGGTCCTAAGTTCTTATCTGACCCTGTTTACATGGTAAAAGAGGTGAATGGGCTTCCAATTTCCAATGAAGATAAAGAAGTCAGAAGAGTTAATGTTTTTGCTATGCAATTGACCCCAGTAGTTCCAGAATATATAACGACTGTCCTTCAGAAATTGTCAAGTTGGAACAAAGCCAAGAGAATATTTGCGCTGTGCCTCATCTTCATTTGTAAGTTGAAGGGTGGTAAGCGTTCAGGCAATATTATGGTTGAAGATATGAGTCAAGCTGAGAAGTTGCTGATAAGGGCAGCTCAGCAGAGTGAGTATCCAAATTGGACCAAGTTGGCCAAGCTAGACCCAGTGAAGGATGAAGATGGTCTGCTGAAGGTTGGTGGGCGCCTGAGGAAGTCGGATCTTTCTATAAATCTTAAACATCCTGTAATCCTGCCTGCCAAATGTGAAGTTACCAGGTTGCTGGTCAATCATTATCATCAAAAGGTTCACCATCAAGGGCGTGGCATAACGCACAACAGTATAAGGTCAGCTGGCTTTTGGATAGTGGGTGGTATGTCGCAGTATCAAGATGGATATACGGATGTACAAAGTGTCGTAGAATGCGAAGACAACCTAGTTGTCAAAAGATGGCTGATCTCCCAGAAGACAGACTACATCCAGCTCCTCCATTCTGCTACTGTGGAGTTGATTATTTTGGCTCTTGGATCGTGAAATGTGGACGTAGAGAGATTAAACGGTACGGAGTGCTTTTTACTTGCATGGACTCGAGGGCAATTCATCTAGAAGTTTCACATTCTCTTTCAACAGATTCATTCATAAATGCCTTCAGACGCTTTATAGCAAGACGAGGACCAGTTAGACAGGTGCGCGCAGATCAAGGTACAAATTTTATTGGAGCCATAAAGGAGTTGCGAGAGGCACTACAAGAAATGGACCAGGATGTAGTAAAGGCAGAAATGTTAAAGTTGAGCTGTAATTGGATCTTAAACCCACCATGTGCTAGTCACATGGGTGGGGTTTGGGAACGGATGATTAAGAGTACCCAAAACGTTCTGAACAATCTACTATTTAAACATAAGGGTTTGTTTGATGACGAAATGTTACATACTTTCATGGTTGAAGCAGAGGCAATTGTGACCAGTTTGAATGAAGCTTCTATGGAGCCATTAACGCCAAGCCATCTGCTCACTGCCAAGGCAAGCGTAGTGTTGCCACCGCCAGGAAAGTTTACACATACCGACCAGTACTGTAGAAGAAGGTGGCGTAGAGTTCAACATCTAGTAGAGGAATTTTGGAATAGGTGGAGAAAGGAATATGTGTCTAATCTACAAACCAGAAGCAAGTGGACAAAGGAGAGAAAAAATATGAAGATAGGCGACGTTATGCTTGTTATTGAAGAAAATGCACCTAGGAATCATTGGTCACTTGCAATTGCAACGTATCCCAGTGAAGACGGTCTTGTTCGAAAAGTGCAATTGTATGTTGGATCAAAGAAGGTCAAAATGGATCGACCTTTACACAAGTTAGTGTTTATTACTGGAGAAGATAAATAGCGAATTGGGGTTATCCCCGCCAAGGAGCCTAGCGCCGCCCTTTTGATACGAAGTTTCTTGCTGAAGATGACATCTGTAAGTAGTGTGGAATATGTGGAGCAATTACACAGACTGTTGTTTGCGATGTAAACAAAAAAAAGCATTGATCTGAAGTTGATTTAATAGAACATTGTTGGACTGTTTGCGAATCGTTGATTATGAAGATATTATTGCATCCTGTTTGATCAAGAGATGATCTTGGTGCATATACCATTTGAGCATTTAGACAAAAAAAACAAAAAAAAATTCGTTTTGAACATTATATTTCTTTGTATTGTATTGTTGAACTTATGTTAATGTTATACTGCTTGTAAGTAAATTTTGTTAAAAATTTAAGGGAGCCATTTGATAAATATAGATTCATATAGGAGCCCCTCTGTTGGTTCATACATATATAACATACCTTGTAGTATAATGGTAGAGTCCCGAAAGTTTAGTGCGGTAAAGAACGAGTGTTGTGCGTTAGAAACTAGGGACGCCATACTGTAGGAGTACATGTTGTTAATGGAGAGCGTCAATTTGAAGTTAGGAAGTCGAATTCACCGTTTTACTATGCCTTAATTTAGTTGTTGTGGGACTGGTATGTACATGATCTGTTGTGGAATATATAGTTGTACTGTAGATATGAACAGTACAGTAATATTAGTGATTTGGAATGAGAAGCATTCCATCGTTTTTTTGTGCTAGACCACAGGCTGCAACATGAGTAGGCAAGGAGTCAGTCTAACTAATGCATGTAGCATTTACGTATTTTATCTTTATATTTGTTGTTCCTGTTTATAATATTATTGCGGCTGTGTACAGTCATAATTATAGAAGAACAACATTTGATTATTGTTATCAAATATATACCAAAAGGCAAAAGTGTTGTTGTCGAATATCATCGAGTCAGTAAAATACGCCCGACGTAACAGTCTTCATTTCCACCTTAATGTTTACATAGCCTGTAGGGTATGCTTGGACATGGTCATGGACACACCTACATGTAACCTTAGCCTGATCTTCACGATTTACTATCTTAGCCGCAAATAAATCAGTATGAACAAGTGTCATGTCACATCCAGAATCTAACAAAATTTCACTATCACAACCCTCCACTAGTCCTCTGCAATGGTAAGACGTATGTTGCACATTATCTGTCGTTCTTGGCAAGTAGGCGTGTTTACTACGACTACTATGACCTGCTTTCTTGCAACGTCTACAAACAAGAGGAGGTCTAGTGTCAGACTGTTATTTGTGACTTTGATCAAATGATTTAGTACTACTCTTAATTACTACTTCAGCAGTACCCTTATCAGTGTTTGCCTGATTATATTTGTTTTCATAATTTCGAGGCTGAAACCTCTTGTCAAATTGAACACATTTTCTAGCCTGAAAATAATTATCTGCTAGTTCTGCAGCATTTAGGCCTGATTTAGGTTTGTGCTCTTTAACCAAATTTGTACCCCAGTGGGCATAATTTCTACCAATTGTTCTCAAATCACTATTTCTGCCAAATCATCTTTACTTTTGTCACTAGGTTTAGCCCATTTGGAAAATAAATCCTTTAACTTTACATATCTCTATAACTTTCCTCAGTTTTCTTTCTAATAGCCCTGTCTATATTTCTCTTCTGTAATATCATACCTGCGTAATATGGCTTCTTTTGCCTTGTCGTAATCATTGCTGTCCGTCACCGGTAGTGCTGCATAAGCTGCCCGTGCCTTGCCTGTCAGGTGAGGAATTAATTTCACCACCCAATGCTCCTTGCGCCACTCATAAGTGTTTGCGATTCGTTCAAATGTGGTGAGGTAGTTCTCAACGTCATCAACCTCAGACAACTTTGCAATCTGAATCTCCTTCAATTTCATAATGTCTTTAAGACACTTGTCGTCACTTTCCTTCTGTTTATCAATGTCGTTACTAAAGCCGTTTGCTTGTCCATTTTTTGCTTGTGTAAGCGCTCTTGTCTTTCCATTTGTTCCTGGCGTAAACGTTCTTGTCTCTCCATTTCTTCCTTGCGTCTTTCCATTTCTTCCCTGCGTTGCTGATTCTGGCTATCCATAATCTGCTTTATCAGATCCTGCTGATTTGTATGTTTTGCCGCTTATTTGCTGTTCCGTGTGCTTTTGCTGCCATTGCATTTACTGATGCATAATGAACAGCACGTCCTTAGACAAGTCACTGCCTGAGTTAAGTCCACCAGGTGCCACAGCGTGTGCTGCATCTTGTTCTAAATGTTGCGACTGAACAGATTCGTCATCTGTGTCATGGTTGTCGTCGCCTTGATACTCCTTGCCGGATCTTGTTGTTGATTGTCCATCAGCCATAATTAAATTTGGACGAAGGTCTTGTTACTAGTAAATCGTGGTTACCGATACTTTCACAAGTCTACTGCTCCAAATACAAAGATTTTCAATGTCCACTGTCTAAAAAAAAATTACAGACTACTTACAGTAATTGTAGAAAATTCACACAGTTCGTTGAACAAAACGATATATAAATCCTTGTTTACAGTAGAACACGACCATAGCTGCTCCTATAATATATCATGCAGTAGAACAACTACCGATGTCACCATAATATGTCACGCAGTAGAAGGAATACCGCTGTCACCATAATATGTCATGCAGTAGAACGAACACCGCTGCCACCATAATATGTCATGAATTCCTACTTCACGTATTTCCGAGCAGTATAGAAATGACTAGGAATCCCTCTTTGACATATAAAATATAAACACAGCTTACAAAGTTGTAACACAACTCAAAAATAAACTTTTATTCTGTATAAACTCCAACAAGAATCCGGTCTCAAAATAACACAACAACTTTCACGTAAACATGTGTTTCAAATAGAGCCCCAGAAAGATAAAACAATCAGCTTATATACCCTATCTGTACAATTCCAGAGCATTCAAGAGCATTCTATAGTGCCTAAGTTCCTCATTGGTTACCTTACATCATAACCCATGAGGCTTATTTGCCTCTATAGTACCCACGATTCCAGAAACTTATAATAACCTATAATACTGCTGGATTCCATATGGTGTCATGTGTTACTAAAATTACCAATAAGTTTTACACTGCTTTTTGATCAATTAAATGTTATTCTAGAAGGTTTTATGTATTAAATATGTTAAAGTAAGGCAAGGAGTGGTAAGTTCTTACAGTATAGTATCTGTCTCTTATACACATCTAGATGTGTATAAGAGACAGATATATATATATATATATACATATATATAAATGTAACGGAGAGTTAAATAGGCAATTTAACAATTAGGAATCGTATCGGTACTTAAGTACAAATAGTGTATATGTCACACCAAAAATGACATGGCAATTTTATAATTACTATAACTTTATTTTGGAAACGACGCTTTTAAAACAGCGAACACGCTTTTGCAGTGTGTTCATAAAAGCAACATACTGTACAGCCATAATAAAATATTAAAACAGAGGGGAGACTTTTAATACAATAAAACGTACGTTACACAATTACACAAGTTGAATATATCACAGATCCTGTATGTCATTTAACACTTACTGTACAATTTATAACATTTACAGCAAAGTAGAATTTGTATATTGCGACCAACTGACCTACACTATTTTAATATTTATAAATAATAATAATCAAATTATTAACATAAGTTTTGTATAGGGCTCGCTCATATTCAGATTTAAAGAGCAACAATCTATATACCCTATATACGGATTTAAATTTTTTTATATACATATTTAATTAATTCTGTGTCTACAGATGCACGTTCTGTAGACACAGAACGTGCATCGCGTATGACACAAAATGGCTTCTAAATTCTCAATGTCGCAACTCTTTTTATCTATGGCTCGGCAGGCACAGTGACTAGTGCGCCCTCTCAGGTTAACACTGATGTTGCAACGCTGCAAGCGAATTTGGGTAACGTAGGATAGTTTGGTTCTCATGAATTATTCATAATCATCTTTATAGAACATATTTTGCGCATGCGCTGTTTTCAAGTCTGTGTCAACCTCAGTGATCAGTCTGTGCATCGCGAGTGATCTAGTGTACGATTTTGATAGAACGACACAATTTTCTTTGTATGAGCTTTGTAGAATCAATGCAAAAATAAAACAAGCGATTGATAGTAGATTT